AATCAAATACTTGGGAACAGACAAAAAGCAGAAAGACCCGAAGGGAAGTGGCCCCGGCTGCAGGGGAGCCTGTTCCTGGTGACGTGAATGTCTCAGCAGTGGGTGGGATCAGACTGTTTCCGTGTTTCCACAATGAATGTCCCAGAATTTATTCTGGAAATCTGAAACTAGCAAAGGTTATTTTTGTCAAATCATAATCTTAATCTGAAATTTCATTCTCCGTCTCTAATTACTCGATAGGTGGAGGTGATGAGTCACTTTCCTGCAATTCATGGCACGTAAGGACAGCCATTATGCCAGTTGTGATGAGATTCCAGTATTGAGACCGAGCGACACTGAGGGAACAGTGCTATATTTCCAACTGAGAATGGTGAGATGCTTAGAGGGGGCAATGTGGGTGGTAGTTTTCTCACGTATCTGCTGTCATTGCCCTTCTAGATAGAAGCAAACTCTTGCTGGACTGATTCTGGCCGATTCAGAGTGTATTCTGTGTGTGACCAGGAAATCATTTTTATTTGGGTAATTCACACAAGAGAAATACATTTTTATTTCCTGAAAGAATTGCATCCAGGGCTGGGTGATGCAAGCTCTGAATCCTTACCACCGGAACATGAGATGTCCTGACAGTAACCCTTGCGACCTGACTTGTATACGTTCTCGGTCCGTTCTTCACATCAAAACCAACTTCACCAGAAACGTTTCTGTATTTAAGTTTCGAAACAGTTCGTATTATCGCCCTGAGTTTCAATGTGAAGAAAGCGGAGCTGTGATAATCTGAAGTTGTTCAGTAGATGTACTGCAGCGAGGTACAAACAGACTGATGCTAACAGGAGCTTGTTTTGAGGTGCTGAGCTGCGGTGAAGGGGCGACCCGATTAAAGGCATCGTTCAACTCACCCGATTCCAGAGCTGTGGCTAGAAAGGACCAGAGATTTCTCGCTGAATTTGTTCACAGTCTTGACTTGAAGAGACCATGATTCAAAGCATGAAAGTACGTTTCACTGGATTGGGTCATAAACTAGCGCAGTGACTGTGAATAAAACGATGGCAAGTTCCAGCAGAGAAACAGGTGACAGCGAAGCAGGCAGCTGAGGACAAATGTGTTCCCTTTGCCAATGAAATTCACGGCTTCACAAAGTGAGGCTGCATTGAAGTGAAGCAGTGACGGCGATTACCTTTGCTGATGTTCACCTCGAGAATCACATTTCTCCTTTGGTCCCTGTTAACATCATAACTTGACAAGATATATTGCATGGAGCTGCGTATTGGGTCCGTGGTATAATGGATAACGCGTCTGACTTCAGATTAGACGACTGTAGGTTTAAGTCCTACCTGACTGCAGTGCAGCCGGCAGTTTTTCGACACATGCTCCCAAAGAGGAATGTGCGCCGGATGTTGTCAGATTCCCAGGAGCAGAAGTAATTGGAAATTAAAAGTTGCACATGAGCAGCGTGTGGCACGTTTTCAGCTCACAGTACGTTTCAAATCCGAGATCATAACACCAGTTCTCATTGCCTGGGGAACTTGCTTGTGTTCCACGTAAAGCAGCCTTTTGTCGGGGAAAAATGTGTGGGGTTGCAGAGTGAATGTGAAGCACATGAAGCGGGTGTAGTCCTGCGGCCTCTGTCACCCTCGGATGCGTCTGTGTGTCTCCCTGTGTGGCTAAAAATGAGGATGAGTTCCTTAAGTGGGTTGTAATACAGTTGTACTACCAAGAAGCCTCAGTTCCATTCGTTGATTACAGGGATGATCTCATTGATATTTACCCTCGAACCATCACACAAGACGGTGGGCCAAATTCTGGAAAATGTGACTCGACGAGATGGATGCCTGAAGACACGCACTGACACGTTGACCCGAATGGTCTTCCTTCCATGCCATAAAATCTCGAACACAGGGAGAAACTGTTCTGCAGTCAAAATGAGCAAAAAAATGAAAAGTCAAAAGCAGTGTCACTGAGAAAAGATGCCAGTGTACCCAGCATCGTCCCCTGGTGCTTTAGTGGTCAGAATTCGGTGCTCTCACCACCGCGGCCAGGATTCGATTCCCAGTTTGGGCATGCACGTTGTTGTCTGCTAGTTTTTCGTGACCACTGATCATCATTTGGAATCCAGACTACTGGGCTAATGGTAAGATTCTTGGTAGTGTGGATGAGCAGAGAGATCTCGGTGTCCATGTGCATAGGTCCCTGAAAGTTGCCACCCAGGTTGATAGCATTGTTAAGAAGGCGTACGGTGTGTTAGGTTTTATTGGTAGAGGGATTGAGTTTCGGAGCCATGAGGTCATGTTGCAGCTGCTCAAAACTCTGGAGCGGCCGCACTTGGAGTATTGCGTACAGTTCTGGTCACCGCATTGTAGGAAGGATGTGGAAGCATTGGAAAGGGTGCAGGGGAGATTTACCAGGATGTTGCCTGGTATGGAGGGAAGGTCTTATGAGGAAAGGCTGAGGGACTTGAGGCTGTTTTCGTTAGAGAGAAGAAGGTTAAGAGGTGATTAATAGAGACATACAAGATGATCAGAGGATTAGATAGGGTGGACAGTGGAAGCCTTTTTCCTCGGATGGTGGTGGGTCGCACGAGGGGACATAGCTTTAAATTGAGGGGTAATAGATATAGGACAGATGTCAGAGGTAGGTTCTTTACTCAGAGAGTAGTAAGGGCGTGGAATGCCCTGCCTGCAAAAGTAGTGGATTCGCCAACTTTAAGGACATTGAAATGGTCATTGGATAAACATATGGATGATAATGGAATAGTTTAGGTTAGATGGGCTTCAGATTGGTTTCACAGGTCGGCGCAACATCGAGGGCCGAAGGGCCTGTTCTGCGCTGCGATGTTCTATGTTCTATGTTCTATGTTCTATGTTCTATCTTCACAGCACTGCTGACTAATATTCAGAAGCAGGAAAAGACTGCGAGGCAATCTCTTTCATCCCAAACGATATTGAAGCCAACATGTAACAAAGAATTGCGGGTGCTGGAAATGTGAAACAAAAACATGAATTGATAAAACAACCTCAGCTGGTCTGGCAGCATCTGTGGAGAGAAACAGAGGCAAAGCTACGGATCCACTGATCGTTCATCAGAACTAGATTGGTTATGCATTTCTATATTGTAAAGCGGGGAAATAATCACTTTTATCTGTCGAATCAGCATGTTTATCAAAATATCTCCTCAGTTTCCACCCGTTAACTTGACAATTTTAAAAGGAAATCATTGGCTCTGATGCTGCTCCCATTGCCCTGAGGTGGGGACAGATTCTGTTTAAATTGTTGTCTTTTCCTTTACTTTTCTGTCCCTTAGTAGCCACGTCGAATGAAGGATTTGTCCTTTCAATATCTACCTCAATATGTGTCTCAATTTGTCTCTCTTTGTCTTTCTGTATCCACTTCAGACCCTTTCGAGCTCTCCCACTCTCCGTCTGTCCATATCCCGCATTTCCCATTTCTGCTCTTTGAAAAGTCTGAAATTCGGAGAGTGTTTGAGAGTGAAGGGGCTGAGAGGCTTTTCCCCCTGCCGGCTGTAGAACTGGGCTAATATTATTCGGATAATGTGTCTGTCCCTTAGGCCTTAGGAAAGGAAACATTTCTTCCCTCAATCAGGTGAAATTCTCAGTTTTAAACCAATGCAACAGGAGATTATCTCTTTCTATGCATTTTCAGAGAAGAACGTTCAGCTGTGAACTATTCATTTTTTTGCAAAAGTGGATTTATTTGAAATTTTCACTCAGCAAAATTGATGCAGAAAGAGCGTTACTGATTACATGTTTAGAAAAATGCATACATCGATGGCGGGGGGAGGGAGGGGGGGGGGGGAGGGAGTAGGGGGTGAGGGGAGGGGGTGAAGGGAGGGGGGAAACAAGCGGGGCGTGGCGCCGTGCCTAAGATGGTTAACACGCTTGTAAGTAAATAGGAGATCCTGGGTTCGAATCCCAGTGGTGTCTATGCTTTACGTTCAGCGTTCCTCGCTTAAACTTCTCTCAAACACCATATTGTTGATCCAATCAGCGATGTCGATGGATAGAACTGAGCATACCTTCCTGGAGTTTGGGAGAATAACATGATGAAACAAGATAAACTACAGCCTTATTGGGGAATGTTGTGGTAATGGCACAGACACCACGAGCTGATCATCCTCATTCTCTGCTGTCAACATCCATTCACCTTACACAGACAGGAGAGACATCATTGTCATCCTATGGTTCTGGTGGAGTTGCTTTTGTCCTTCGCTGGTGGATTGGGAATTCTATTTCAAAGTATAACAGATCATCATATTTTGATGGAAGAAATGTTTCCTTTCCTCAGGCGTCAGGGACAGACAGATTATCCGAATAATATTAGCCCAGTTCTGGAGTTTATTGTCGGCTGGGGGTGAGGGGAGAGGGGAAGGGAGCCCTCTCAGCACCTCCACCCTCAAACACTCTCCGAATTTTAGACTTTTCAAAGAGCAGAAATCGGATATGAGGGATATGGACAGACGGAGAGTGGGAGAACATGAAAGGGGCTGAGGTGGATACAAAGCAACAATGTGAGACAAATAGAGGCACATATTGAGGTAGGCACTGAAAAGAACCAATTCTTCATTCGACATGGCTGCTAACTGACAGGAAAGGAAAGGAAAAGGCAACCATTTTAGCAGAACCTTTCCCCACCTTAGGACAACAGAAGCAGCATTAGAGCCGATAAAGTCCTTTCAAAGTTGTAATGTTGACGGTTGGAAACTACAGAGATATTTTGATAATTATGCTGATTCGAAAGATAAAGGTGATTATTTCCCTGACATTACAATATGGAAGTGCATCACTAATCTGGTTCTGATGAAGCCTTAGTGAATCCTAAGCGTTAACTATGCTTCTCTCCACAGAACTTCTGCGATTGTCGATCAATTCATTTTTTTTTTTTTTTTGGTCTTAGATTTGCAGCATCTGTCGTTTTTTGTGACATGTTAGCTTGATTATCGTTTGGGATAAAGTACATTAGGTCATGAAAAATGAGCAAACCATTGAGTTCCCTGACCGGGAATCAAACCCGGGCTGCGGCGCTAAGAGCACCGAATCATAACCACTAGACTACCAGGGAAGGCACAGAGTCAGCTGGCATCTTTTCTCATTGACGTTGCTTTTGCCTTTTCATTTTATCGATCATTTTGGCCGCAGATCAGTTTCTCCCTGTCTTCGAGATTTTATACCGTGGGAAAAAAACATTTGGTCATCATGTCAGTGCGTGTCATCAGGCAACCATTTGTTCCAATCCCTGTTTCCAGCTGTTCTCCTACCACCTTTGGTGTTCTTAATTTTCGAGTGCAAACTTCGATGAGATTATCCCTGTAATCAACGAATGGGACTGAAGTTTGAGATGTCAAAATTATGTTAAAGCCCCCTTGAAGTACTCGTCCTCATGTTAAGCCACAGAGGGATATACATAGAAATATCCCCCGAGAGTGACAGAGGCCTCAGGATTATATGCGCTCCGTCTCCTTCATGTTCACGCTCTGTTGCCGTACACAAGGTTCCCCGACAAAAGGCAGCTTTTTGTGGAATAGAAGCAGCTTCTCCTGACAATGGGAACCGTTGCCATGAGCTGGGATATGAAATAGACAGTGAGCTGAAGTAGTTCCACACTCATATTACTCATTTAGCTTTCAATTTCAATTTTTAATTTCCAAAACCCAGCGATCCAATCACTTCAGCTGCTGGGAATCTGACAAAAACAGTGCTAGGCACACATTCCTCTTTGGAAGCATCTGTCAATTTGCAAGGGTAGAAAAGCTGCCAACTTCACTCGAGCGAGGGAGGATACAACATTTGAATCTTCCAAACCACTGTCAAACGCCGTAGCAATTAGGCCACTGGCTCTGCACGTATTGCTGCAGCTTTCATCCCGTCGACTTGTGATGTTAACACGAATATCAGCGGAAAAACCATTCGCAAGGTGAATAACCAGCAAAGATAATCGCCGTCACTGCTTCACTTCAATGTTCTCCACTTTGTGAAGCGGTGAATGTCACTGGCAAAAGAAACACATTTATCCTCATTTGCCTGCTTCACTGTCACCCGTTTCTCTGCTGGAACTTGCCATCGTTTTATTTACAGTAATTGCGATGTTCTGCCTTTCATATCATTTAAAAAAAAAATCTCCTCACAACTTAACAATGTCCCCGAGTCTTGAAATCTTCCATCCTAGAGAAAAGACAACGACTCTTCGTACAATATACACGCCTCATTATTTTATACACTTCTATCAGGTCGCCTTTCAACCTCCTAAGCACCAGCCAAAAAAGTGCAAGTCTCTTCAACCTTTCTTTATAAATCAAACCTTTCATACCAGGCAATATCCTGGTAAACCTCTTCTTAACACTTGCCAGCTTAATAATATGCCTCCTGTAACTGTGTGACCAAAACTGCACACTGTATTCGCGAAGAGGCCTCGCCAACGTCCTGCACAATCTCAACACGACTTCCCAACTCCTGAACTGAAACGACTGAGCAATGAAAGCAAGCGCGCCAAAAGCCTGTTTAAACACCCTGTCTATATGTGACGTAAACTTCGAAGAATTATGTACCTACACCCCTAGGTCCCTAAGCAGGCACCTTAAGAGTGAGACAAAGTCTGTGGGCGGGTGGGGAATGATTTCGATTTTCTTTGACTTCACGTGCAAAGAAATTTATTGTACACGTGCAGCTGAATAAGATTGAATTTTAAATGAAACTGAACATTTTTTCAATTAAAAAGTAAAAGTAGACCCTGTCAAGTCGGAAGGAAACCGTCACTCTGTGTCGCAATTCCCGCTTTTGAATGGTGCCTTAATTATTTGACCACATTCCGATGATGTTAGGTACATTTCATACTGTCTGAACGCCACCCAAGAAATCCACAAACCTTTTTGCGTTTGGATCCCTCCCTTCTTCTCAGCAGCTCTTTATTTTAAGCTGATAAAAATCCTGACCAAAGTTGAATGTAACATTCGTACGTTTCAATGAGATAAATCTAATTCCTTTTTGATTATTTCAATGACCTGTGGAGTTTGCAGCAAATTGAATGAATTGAAGCGAGTTAAACAGCTTTTTTTCCCACAACTTACCTCAATTTTAATTAGCCATACGAGAAACGTTTGCGATCTGAAAAGAAATCATCTTTTGTTCTCTCTCCGCAAATATTTCATGACATTTCAAACATTTCCAAGATGATTGTCAATCGTTGAGCCATTTCCAAATCCTCAGAAACTGGGAATTTCCCATAAACTTTGTTCCAAGTTGACTTTCCTCCTGACGGCTTGTCCCAGGACAAGTTAAAACTGCTCGAAGAGAGGCTTGAACTCACAACATTTTTTATGAAATTGCTGAACTACTGAGTGCAAAAATTGATTACTTCTATACACATTTTCAGCATTTTCCTACAGTGTTCCCTGACCCTTTGATGTTTCCAGACTGTAGAAATCTGTGAATCATGTTCTTGCCAGGATTGCGCGGTTTGGACTTCGGGCGAAGCAAAATTGGCCGGGCGAAATTTCCCTGCAACGTCGGAGGATGAGAACTTCGAGAAGTTTATAAAGTCATGAGGTATATGAACAGGGTGAATGGCCGAGATCTTTTTTCACCAGGTGGGCAAGTCCAAAACTACGGGGAATATATTTAAGGTGAGAGGGGAAAAATGAAATGGGAGCTGAGAGGCATTTTTCACGCAGAATATGGTGCGTGCGTAGAATGAACTGACGGATGAATTTGTGGAGGCTGGTGAAAACACAACATTTGAAAGGCATCTCGATGCGTGCATGAATCGGAAGGTTTTAGAGGGATAAGGGCCAAATGCTAGCAAATGGGATGAGATTAATTTAGGACATCTATTTAGCATGGACGAGGTGCACCGAAGTGTCTGTTTTCGCGCTGTCCTTCCAGATGACGCTACATTTGCTGACTCCCGGTTTAGTTGTCAAGCTTGTCTCTGTGGTGCAATCGGTTAGCGCATTCGGCTGCTCACTGAAAAGTTGGTGGGTCAAATCCAACCAGGGACGATGGGCTCCTTCGCCTTTAACCCCGATGACCACGTTCTGAGTGGGAATTTTGGCTGCAAGAAGATAGCTGTGTTCGCTCCTCAGGTCTCGAGCAAACCCCCAAACAGACGGCTCTTAACACACAACTGAAGCAAAAATGACAAGGCGAATGCCGTTGCAGACGCAGCGAAGCATCAATGCTTTCTGTGAGATCCCTCGACCTATCTTTGTCGCAAACCACTCACACAAGTGGCAGCGGAGCAATTCCAATCTGTGCTTCCAATTATACTGGGAGTCTAGTCCATCGCTACTTTCCAGAAAGTGCTCAAATAAGGAAAAAAAAAAACAAAAACAGAATTAGAATGACCCACGAAAAGTGAAGATTAGCAATCACAGTCTCGAAGAGGTTGGGTTTCCCTTCTGATCAACAATGCAGGTCGGCCTGTGCGGCAACGATTGCAGCGGATCCAGAAGGCGTCTCATCAGTTCTCTTCTCCATGACAGAAATGAAGGAAGTGAGAGAAATGTAACAAAATTTCACATCGCAATTACCCTCCTTTTCACCATAACAACAAATAACTGCGATTAGAATTAATGCAGCGTTTGATTTCACTGCAGCAGTGGTAAAACGATCTCCATTCGCTTTCGGTGAAAAGGGTGAACAACGCAACTTGCCTGGAACATGAAGCAGCAGTGCAGCCTGCTTGTGCCCGATGTCATGCTGGAGACATTCCATGCCACTGCACCATGTAAACAAGTACTGGACACTGACCCGATGGAGGCTCTGAGCTGTCCAAACATCATAGATCAGTTTGCGAACAGCAAAGACATTTTGTTGCATTCAACTTATAACAAAGCTCATCCCGACCATGCTTCGGCATTACCCACGCCTCCTCAGACACTGGAACCTCAATCCAGCGCCTAAGACCACGACGAGCCGTTAGCTCAGATATGACATTTTCCGGTGTTGTTACTGCAACACAACAACAGCGAAGGCACAGGGAAAGGCTTCAAAGATCCCTATCCCGCTCGTGCATTTTCTTGGCTGCTGGGTATGCCCGGCTACAATATCAATTTCCTACCAGATACCGATAGCCCGTCTAACAAAACAAGCAGCAATGGAAAGCTTAATCTACCTCGTGAGACTCGGTCCAGCAACAAATGTAATGCATCTGTGAGAAACTGTATTCGGTTATGCTTCGATAAAGAAAACATGAACTGCACGACATTTCTGGAATTTAGATTTTCGCTTTGTAAAATGATTTCGCTCATTGCTCGAAACAGAAGAACTGTTACATTTACACGTAACATGAAAAACACCCGACTACACGGAAAATGCACAAAGCTGAGCAGGCCGTCGTGTACTACATGATACCATGCAGCATACTTACAGTTAACACGCCTGTTTTGCAGAATAAGCGATTCAAAGAAAGTTCTCCATCTGAAAAACTGAGTTAGCAGTTGAATCCGAGAACGACAAATCACATTGCCAGGCTGTTCGAACCTCGATCCAGGAATGAGTTGTCTTTCCCTTGTCCTTCTCATTTTTGTCTGCGGAGCTTTCCACACCTGGACATGAGGAAATGTCAGACGGCTGCCGCTGAGTTGGAAACCTGTGTGGGAAATGAAGAAAAGCGACTCACTAAATTTTACTCAACACCAAGGTGCTTATTTGGGGATGCACAAAAGGCAGTTACTAAACCGGCACCCGGTACTTTTCCCTGCAACCGCAGGAAGTGCTACACCTGCCCCTACACCTCCCCCCTCACCCCCATCCCAGGCCCCAAGAAGACTTTCCACATCAAGCAGATGTTCACCTGCACATTTGCTCATGTGGTATATTGTATCCCCTGTTCCCGTTGTGGCCTCCTCTCCATCGGGGACCGCTTTGCGGAACACCTCGCACTGAACAACTGCACCTCCCAGTCGCGAACCATTTCAACTCCCCCTCCCATTCCTCAGATGACATGTCCATCCTGGGCCTCCTGCAGTGCCACAGCGATGCCACCCGAAGGTTGCAGGAACAGCACCTCATATTTCGCTTGGGAACCCTGCAGCCCAATGGTATCAATGTGGATTTCACAAGCTT